GGGAGCGCCGCTTAGCCAGAAGCCGGGCTCACAGCTGGCAAGTGCGGCGGCGGTGGCAGGAGCCTCTCCCGCAGTAAGGAGTGAGGGGTCCCAGACTGCAAGAGCCCTAGACTGCGAAAGGGATGTCTGCCTGCCAGGGATCAGGCCTAAGCCGGCAGGCAGACATCCACCGAGGGGTCCTGGACTGCGAGAGTGCACAGGCCGGGCTGAGGGATCCCCCTCCACCTCCCCAGTGCACGAATTTCATGCACCAGGCCTCTAGTTTAAATAAGCATGTTTGCATAGATAACATTTTGAATTATATTTTTATCTTTTTAGATAATTATTTTTGAATAGACATGGAATATAAGAAACACTTTAAAGCACAGAAGGCAGTCATTTCATAGAGTAACTAAAAACTCATTTAATTTGTGAACTCTAGACACCTACAGATTTTTAGAGGAAACTATTAATATCTGTTTCATTGGAAAGCTCTGAATTTTATACTTCATCTTTTAGTGCAGAGTAAACCTTTTAAAGAGCAACATGTGCAAAAGGCCCATTTCCCTAATGTGTAAAGACTAATGAATGATAAAGAGACAACCATACACCCAAGAGAAAAATGGGCAAAGGTTGTCAACTGACAGCCACTGAAAAAGAAACACAAATAGCTCTTAATTACATAAAAAGATGCTCAACCTCACTCATAAGAGAAATACAAATACTATAATGTAATACCATCTATGATTTTAAAACTACAGGTGAATACAGACTATTTAAATTCTTTTTTTCTAAATTAAATTCATTGGGGTGATATTGGTTAATAACATTACATAAGTTTCAAGTTTACAATTCTATTACACATGATTTGTTTATTGCATAGTGTGCTCACACAGATAGTCATTTTAATGCCTGTATCTCTCTCTTTTTTTAAAAATATATTTTATTGATTTTTTACAGAGAGGAAGGGAGAGGGATAGAGAATTAGAAAGTCGATGAGAGAGAAATATCGATCAGCTGCCTCCTGCACACCCCTTACTGGGAATGTGCCCACAACCAAGGTACATGCCCTTGACCGGAATCGAACCCAGGACCACTCGGTCTGCAGGCTGACGCTCTATCCACTGAGCCAAACCAGTCAGGGCTAATGCCTGTATCTCTTATTCCTAAGAACCAGTTGATTACAGTTTAATAAAAATACTTTTTAAAAATGGGTAATTTCTTCCTTTAAAAGGGGAGAAAGCATAATCCCCTGAAGTTGATTCTATTGTGAACTGATTTTGGGGAAATTATTAGAAGAGATTAACCCAAATCCATTTGCAGACATCCAGAAGATTTTTGAGTAATTTATAAATAAGATTTCGAGATTAATTTTTCCCAAAGTTGGCTAGTGTGTGTGTGTTTGTGTGTGTGTGTGTATGTGTGTGTGTGTGTGTGTGAGAGAGAGAGAGAGAGAGAGAGAGAGAGAGCGAGATCCAATATTTTTTTTTCTTTTCCTTTTATAGAACTGATTGGGGCGACACTGTTTTCAGGTGCACACTTTTACAACACATAATCTGTACACCACCCCAAGTCAAGTCTCCATCCCAGTCTTACAACTTGACAATATTTTTAAAAGATTTATTCTATGTGGTCTCAACAGATACTGAAAATGTTGAGTAGGTTGTTTTAGAATTAAGCAACTCGTAGTAAACAGAAACCAGGTGAGCATCTCCAAAAGTGGTGTTGCCTAGATGGGTTCATTCACTTACAAAGGTAGTTAACTACAGAAAGTTTTTTTCCCTTTAGGTCAGTGTTGTCCAGTCAGCACCCAGTAATCACATATGATATTTAAATTACGTAAGATTCAAATTTCAGTTTCTCAGTCACCCTAGGCAATTTCATGTGCTCAAGAGGCACATGTGACTAGTGGCTACTGTATTGGACGGCACAGAAATAGAACATTCCCATCAATGCAGAAAATTCTATATTGAACAGTGCTGCTTTAGATTGTCAGCGTTTATTCCTGTATCTCTCTCTTCGTACTCACCACTGAGTACAAAACGTGCACTTGATGCTGGGTGCATTGCAGATGAATATTTACATATTGAGAGGCACCTCTTTTTAAAAAAATATATATTCTTGCTGATTTTAGAGAGGAAAGGAGAGGGAGGGAGAGAGAGAGAGAGAAACATCAGTGATGAGAGAGAATCATTGATTGGCTGCTTCCTGCATGCCCCACATTGGGGATTGAGCCCACTGCCCTGGCATATGCCCCAACCAGGAATCAAACTGTGACCTGGTTCATAGGTCCACGCTTAACCACTGAGCCATGCTGGCCAGGCTGCTATTCTTTGGGGGGGGGGGGTGGGGTGGTACAGGCCGGGGGCGGGGGGGCGGGGAGAGACTATTTTTTTCTTCTTTCTACAGTATCTTCATTTTGCCCTTCCTCAACTTTACCCTAGTGGGCTTAGCTTTTATGACGTCGTCAAGCCAATGAGAACATTGACAAACTCATCATTGTAGGGTCTCTTATTATGTTTTTGTCATTACTCACTACATAGGATATCCTGCCTCCCACCACACACACGCGCACGCACACACACTTTTTTTTTCTTTTTAATCAACTGTGCTCAGAGTTGTGTGGTTATAAGTGTGGACTCCAGGTAAGTAAGGTACTTTGAGTCCCCTGTTCAGATGTTGGTGAAAATAGGGCTTTACACCATGGATCCATCTCCTGCCACTTAATGGGGGTGGGATCATCTTACACATTGCCAGTGACCTTTGTACTGTAAGCATCACTTTATGAATATGAAATCATGTAGTATGGTGTAAATTACTAGACTAAGGTAGGAGCCGGAGCCTCTTCTTGTCCTTAATAGCTCTGTATTTGACTATCTGTAGTGTCATTGTCCATTCAGACTCTGCTGGCCTGAAGTCCTCTTTCATATGTGGAAATTTTTGATTTCCTAAATGTTTCTTTGTCAGTGTCATTGTGTTTTTAGATAAATTCTTGGCCTCACTGGAATAGATTTGTATAATTATTCTTTCTTTCTAGGACTGAAAGTCACACTATAGATGCTGAAAACAAAGCTAAAAAGCTTACATTGCCTCTCTTTGGTGCCATGAAAGGAGGAAGCAAATTCAAATTAAAAACTGGGACAGTAGGGGTAAGTTGTGGGTCAAGGTGTTAAACTTATAGCTTTTGAGTTATCTGAGCTAATTTTTCTCTTTTCAAAGCTCAAATGACTCATTTCATAGAATGAGTCATTTTTTTTTCATAGTAATGTGGAAAAGGGCTGTGAACTTGGTATGATCACATCTTTCCCAGGTCTTGGCTCTTGGATTTTTTCTCTTCAGTTTAGGGTTATCAAGAATTAATGAAAAAAACAAAAGAAAGAAAGAAAAAAAACCCAAAAAAGAAAAAAGGAATTTAAAAAGAGAAAAACAAACAAAAAGAATGAATTCTTTTATGCCAATCAGTTTACATGTAACTGATTTATAAATTAGAATACCAGTGGACTAATATGTGATGACTATTACATTTAAGAAAGGGTCTCCTGCATTAAATGCTTCTCTCCAGGCTCAGCTAACACTTGTTAGTAGCATAGTCTATGCACCTGGCTCTGTCATGTGGTTTTTCCTTTATTCAGTCCTTCTAAAACCTTGTGATGTGTGGGAATTATTACCTCTCACCGGGAGGAAACTGGGTCAGAGAGGTTACATATAAGATTACATCATTAGTAAGTAATTGGACTGGCAGTCAGATTCAGGTCTTCTGTCTGTTGAGTTTGTGATCTTTCTACTATTCTCTAATATTCACTTATGTATATTTTTGTTTTAGGTACATCCATCCCTATTTGTAGTTTCAGCTTTTAAAAGGTTTTCATCAACCCAAAGAGCTACACCTTGTGTTTTAGTGTGTTAGGGCTGCCATAACAAAATACCACAGCCTGGGTGGCTTAACCAACAGCAATTTATTTTATCACAATTCTGGGGGCTAGGAGTCTAAGATCAAGGTGCCAGCAGGGTTGGTTGGTTACCTCTGAGACCTCTTTCCTTGGCTTATAGAAGGCTGCCTTCTTGTTGCCTCTTTACATGGTCATCCCTCTGTGCATGTGCACCTCCCTTCTTATATTGGATTAGGGCTCCATCCTTATTTTTACTTAGTCACCTCTTTAAAGATCTCATCTCCAAATATAGGTACATTCTGAGGTATTGGGGATTGGGACTTCACATATGAATCTTGGGGGTACCTAATTCAGCCAACAGTTAGGGAAAACTGCCCTCTGGTGGCAGAGGTCTGAAATCCTACCCATATGTTCTGAGTGAGTATGTGGTTTCCCAATCTTAGATGGAAGCTTTTCTGTCTTGTGTGTGTCAGGGATGGGGTGGGGTGGGGTGGGGAGGGAGGGGGTTGGGAGGAGGATACTTAGGCTTTAGTTAGAAGAAAAACCTTGACTAAAAAGCTCTTCTTAGATGATTACTGAAATAAATCCTTTGTTTAAAACATAATATACCCAACATATACTTTGGTACCTTCTCTCTATTCCTTAAGCTGTGATCTACTTTTCCTAATAATTTTATTGAAAGTTCTTGCCCTGACCTGGTGGCTCAGTTGGTTGGAGTGTTGTCCCATACACCCCAAGGTTGTAGGGGTTCAATTCCTGGTCGGGACACAAACCTAGTTTGTGGTTTTGATCCCTGGTCGGGACACATACAGGAGGCAATTGATTGATGTTTCTCTCTCACATCAGTGTTTCTCTCCCCTCCCCCCCTCTCAAAAAAACAAAACAAAACAAAATATATATAAGAATAGTTGGCCTTATTCTTCAAGAAATGCCTTTCTCGGGACCTATTTTACTTATGTCTTATTTCCTTGAAATTGTGTTAGATCTAAGATGAAAAGATTGTTTTGGAATCACTGATTTATTTCTTAGAAATGTGTGTCTGATTTACTCCCTAGAAGGTTTTGTAATGAATTAAGATCCTTTAACATCATAAGTGGGTAACAGGACAGAATTCCTGTAGCTGATACTCACCTGGAATAAATGCTTTAGTTCTTTACATGCTGTTTCCAGTGTTTCATACTTAATATTCTTTGACCTAGAAACTAACAAAAATACTCGTTAAGGGTTCATAGATGGATAAAATTTCAGGTGAAAGTCTCACTTCCAGCAAACTTCTGCAGGGTTTATCAGCATATTGAGGTTAGACATTCTACACATTTAGCTTAACTCTGGAGAGATTTGTTTCTTTCTCATTATGTAGAACAGCTTGTTCAGGGTTTTGTTTCCCTTACAGAAGTTACCCCCCAAGCGTCCTGAACTCCCTCCAGCTCTAATGAAAATGAAGGATGAGCCTGAAGTGGAAGAGGAGGAGGAGGAAGAGGAAGAGGAAGAAGAGAAAGAAAAGGAGGATCAGGAAGAGAACAAAGTGGAGGCTGGAAGCAGTAGGCTACAGCAGAAGAGAGGGCCAGAAGAAGCAGTGCAGGAGATGAGTCCTCCCATTGATCTCACGTGTTCTAAAGAAACAAAACAGCATGGTAAGGTATTTCTTTATATAATGCATTTGAGTTAATTGTGGGTAGCTTTGAAAAAGCAGAGCTAGTTCTTGCCTGTGCACGTTTTGACTTTGCAATACTTTGTGATATGTGATACAACTGATTTTGTAAACATGCTTGCTTTAACTGCCAGTCATTTTTTATCCTCATTGCAAAATAAGGGCAGGTATGTTCAGTCTGTTCAATTATGGAAAATTGAAAGCTATAGAATCTGAAGCTCTGGCTACTGTGGTGAGTCCTGAGCTGTTGCCACTATATGATTGGAGAGCAGTGGAATATGGTAGATGGTGAGTCCTGGTCAGGTGGTCTCAAGACAAGCCTCCCTTACTCATTTGTCACCCATCCCAAAGCAGATGCTAAGCATAATTATACCCACTGGACATACTTCTCAGGAAGCATCATGACATTCATTTTTTTGTCCATGGTGCCTAGCAGAGAACCTGCATATAGCATTTACCCACCACAGCAAAGTTTGAAGAAAAAGGGAATTGATCAGTTTTTAAAAGTATTTTCTTCAGTTGTAAAAGGCATTTATGCTCACTTAGAAACTGAATCATACAGGAAAGGCCAAAGAAGAAAATAGAAAACGCCCATGATCCCATCCCGAAAGATGATTGTTTATCTTTCTAGTATCCTCTTATCCTGGTCCACTGCAGGGTTATTTTCCTTATGGCCAAACTGCCTAGCAGGATTGAGTCTGCACAGAAAATAGGGAGCAAGGGGGGAAAACAACCAAGAACTGGCATTAAATGTGTGTGAGAGTGTGTGCATGTCTTGTCTGCATAAAACACCAGGCCTGGTATGGAGACCTTCTCTTGAATCACCTTCAGTTTAAAAAATTACCATTTCCTTCTCTGAGAGGTAAATCTTGTTTCTTCCCGTTCTCCTTTAGTTATTGGCAAAATGCTTAGGCTTTTCAAAAATGGCTCTTACATTACTTTTATAGCCGGTCTTTGGTCCGTACAGCAGAAAGGGGAAAGCTAGTATTGTACTTTGTACTTTGTTTGTTTGTTTGTTTAACAACATTGGGATCATATTGTACATGCCATTTTATAACCTGTGTTTTAAAATATACTTTAAAAATGTGGTTCAATAAGGGACATAGTGGTCCATTACATGCATGTGCCGTAACTTATTTAATCAACTCCCTGTTGTTAGACAGGGAAGGTATCTGTTAATTTTGGCTATTTTAAACATACTTGTATATAATAAAATCTTAGTGCTCATCTCTGATTATTTTCTTTGAATATGTTCCTGGAAGTAGAATTTCTAGGATATGTACATTTCAAGGAATATGTACATTTTTAAGGCTTTGGTAAGTATTGCTAAAAGTTTTATCTTAGAAGTGGCCAGTTTTTAAAGTGGGAAATTGGTGATTCTATGTTAGACATCTGGAGGCACATTTATTGAAAACTTAATTTTAGTTGAAGCTAATGATAGTAAAACTGGATGATTGTGTATTTAGCTTTCCTTGCTTCTGTTTTTGTTTTCCTGGTTTCCCACCAGGAATTAAATAATAACAATATGCTTTGGTTTTGTGTTTTATAGAAAACATGTCTCAACTCAGCCAAGTGGAACAGAATAAAGATGATCAAGACATTAGTGAAACAGCTGCATCACGTGAGGAACCCTCAGGCAAGTGGCACAGCCGACTCCTTTGCTGCTCTTCCCAGAGGAGGGGTGGCAGCTGGCCTGAGGCAGCACAGAGAATGGCCTTTCAGACACTGGGTGGATGCTGCTGCCGGGCCCTGGGGAGACCTGGAATATCTGAGAGGTTTATGTTTGATACCATCCCATTTGTCTTTCTTTTCCTCGGGCCATGCAAAGCCCTCCACAATTTTACTTTTCCCCAAATTGAATGCGTGCCTATCATGGGAGTGATTCCAAAACTACTAAAAGAAATCGGTTGACAGTTTGGCCTAGTCAAAGGACTTTTTTCTGTTTTTCTACTGCTTTTAACTGTAATGGTTAAACTGTGGTAAGTAAAGTCAGCTCCATTTTCCTTCACCTATTCAAATGGAGTGATTATATTCAAGTTTGTAGAATAGCTTTAGGATTTGAAAACTAGGGTTATTAGTGAAGGGGAAATTATCTTAATATATAGTCTTTACAATAGTAGAAGGAATTTTTGAGAATTTGATTGGTACATGTTTTCTTCACTAAATATAATGCTCTCGTGGAAAGAATGTTTTTTCTATTTATTTTGAAATAGCTATTGCCTCTTTTTTTTTCTTTTCCTTAAATTAGTATCAAAGAATGAATATGGGAAAAATAGAGATGAATTGAAGAAAAAGAAAGCTCCTGGTCCAGGCAAAGTAAGTGCTTTAGTCATAATCTTCACTTCTCTGGAAGTAGAAATGAATCCCCTTGTCATGGACCACATCCAAACGAATGAATCTGAAGGGACTGTCTTAGCAGAGTTCCCAACTGCCTTATATCCTCTCTTCTAGAAGCCTGGGCTCTATTTTTATTTTTGAGCATTTACTTTTTGAGTTCTCTATTATCTCCATCTACTCTGCTCCTTAGAATTGCTCACATATTTCTTTTATTAATTTGTGAATCTTCATATCCTAGTATGCCATACAAAGTCACTTGAGTAATATATTCTTATTTTCCTCCTTTTATTTCACAGAAGGTAGGATGTAATGTACTGCATTCTGCATCTTATTTTTTTGTTGTTGTTAATCCTCACCTGAGGATATTGTTTCCATTGTTTTTCAGAGAGAGTGGAAAGGAGGGAGGGATGGAGAGAGAGACAGAGGAGAGAGAAACTGATGTGAAAGAGACACATCACTTGGTTGCCTCTTGCACGCACCCCAACGGAGGATCGAACCTGCAATCCAAGTATGTGCCCTTAACTGGGAATCGAGCCTGCAACCCTTTGGTGTGCAGGCCGACACTCTAACCATTGAGAAACACCGGCCAGGGCTACATCTTGTTTGTTTTTTAACCTATCATGGAAATCACTGTTTATGAGTACACCAAGAGCTTCCTACTGTATGAATCTACTCTATTTAACCAGCTCCCTGTAGACAGGCACTTGTGTTGTTTCCAGTCTTTTATTACAACAGTGCTATAAATAATCTTGTATAAACATAATTTTGTATGGATATAGTAAGTTCCCAGAAATGAGATTGCTGGGTTGAGTGGGGAGGTCCTTAAGACCACCCTCAGGCTAGGTAATTCACAAGAAGCCTCACAGGACTCAGCATGTGGTTGTACTCACAGCTGTGATTTACTGCAGCAAAAGTATATGCCAAGCACAGTCAGCAAAGGGAAAGGCACACGGGGTGAAGTCGGGGGCACAAAATTCCTACGGTCCTTTTCCAGTGGAGTCACACAGGATGTGTTTAATTCCCCTGACAACGAGTTGTGACAATTTGTGAAATGTTGCTAACCAGGAAACCTCATTAGAGACTCAGTATCCAGGGTTTTTATTAAGGACTGAGATCACATAGGCTCACCTCATGACTGGCATGTACCCAAATTCCATTCTCCCAGAAGGAAAGCAAGTGTTCAGCATCAATCACATTGTTTTTATTAACAGTTCAGGCACAGTGAGCCGCTCTTATCAGTTAGGATAGTAGGAACCTTCCTGATATCCAAGTTCCCAGATGCCAGCTAAGACCAACTTGCAAACAGGTCTTTCAAAGGATAACCATCAAGTCAGCTATGCTAATTTGTTCCTGTACTTAGATCAAAAGGCAAATGCCAAAGTTTTCTCTACAGGAAAGAACTCAGACCTGTGTTAACTGCCCCTTTTAAAAAACATCACTTCACTCTCTCTGAAATCAGCTCGTTGACGCTTTACAGGAAAAAAAATAATCAAGGTTCAGAGAGAGAATGCTCCCATTTTTTGATTACTTATGTCAAGATCATTAATGGGAACTGTTCTCTCTTTGTTGTTGTTGTTTTTTTTAAAAATAGATTTTTATTGATTTCAGAGAGGAAGGGAGAGGGAGAGATAGAAACATCAATGAAGAGAGAGAATCATTGATCAGCTGCCTCTTCCATGTCCCTTGTGGGGATTGAGCCCGCAACCTGGGCATGTGCCCTGACCTGGAATCGAACAGTGACCTCCTGGTTTATAGATTGATGCTCAACCACTGAGCCACTCTGGCTGGGCTGTTCTCTCTTAAAAAAAAAAAATAAAAAAATAAAAAAAAAAAATAAATATATCTTTTTTTAAAAATTGATTTTAGAGAGAGAGAAAGGGAGAGGCAGAGAGAAACCTAACATATAACCTGGGGATGTTCTGACAGGCATAGGACAATAATTCTTAGAGTTAAAAAAAATTTTTTTAAAGAGTTAAAAAAATTTGAATAAAAAAACCTATCTTTTCTTTCCAGCTTCCACCAACACTTTCCTCCACATATCCAGAAGATGACCCAGACTACTGTGTGTGGGTCCCACCTGAAGGTAGATTGTTTTTACTTTTCTTTTCCTCTAAGATTTAGTTATGTACACTTACGAATATGTAATATATAGGGCTGGACAAAAGTAGGTTTACAATTGTAATACAAATAAATAATACAATATTTAATAAATAA